ATCCAAGAGTCCATATTGAACCATTTGGTCACCAAGAGGTAATCAAGTCACCTTCTTTAAGTGAGTTAATACTTCTAAAAAAAAAAAAAAAATTAAAGAATAAATTGAAGACAGACATTTGTCCGAATAAATTAAAAGAGTAGAAGCCAATTTGACAGGTCGAGCAGAAAAAATAAAAGGGTTAATTGTAGAGAGAGTACATGCACGTGAATTTCCTTATACAAGAATGGGAAATCCTTTCAAATGGATCTCGTCGAAGACGCTAACTCAACCATTAATTTACTGGTTTTTATGAATTTCGTGAGCATGATTTTGTTTTAATTTTAGAAGGACAAAATTTAACCTTAAAAACAATATGTTTTTACTTTTTAGTACGTTTATAATTAATAATAATAATAAACGTATTTGCATGCTTTGGGATGTTTGCACCAAAGTTTACAAGTAGAGCCAAAAAGGGATCTACTAGTCAAAAATACAGAGTTTGTGAGGAGATACAATCACATATTTACGGGGATTCTAGTCATTCTAGTCTATCTGTACAGCTAGCAGTAGAGACAAATTAGGGCCTTGAATATTGGAGAACCAACTTGGAGATAATTACTCCTGATTGTCAACACTACTATCAAATGTATGAAGTATAAACAATAATGAGTTGATTAATCAAGCATCAAAACAAAATTTAGAACTAATTTAATGCAGTTCTATAATCAAAACAAACAGAAAAGTCCATATAAAATAAGGTTTAAAATTACTCAAGATAAAACATGGATGAATGGGTGAAGATGAAAATTAAATCAAGATCTGAAGCAAGAGAGAAAAAATAAAGAAAGTGAAGTGGGTTTTTGAAGAAGAAGAAGAAGAAAGTTTAAAGAGTCAAGTGGGATTGGAGACAGGAAGGATTGGTCCAGCAGGGAGTGAAAATATGGAGAAAGTGTTTGTTTTTTGTAATGAAAATGAAAAATGTTTCCTATTCATACAACAAGTTTGTCTGGTGAGGGAGGGCTGGTGAGGGTACATTTGAGATGGGTGATGGGGCATAGCATAAGCTTATGTTCATGTGAATTGCCGAGGATGATTTTACAAATACTATACTATATAATATAATTTATATAGAATTATAGATCAATATATATATAAAGGTAATTTACTATACATACATGACACCATCTCTGTCCCATATTTCTCCATATGCTGCAGCCAATAAAAAAATAGTAACTATTCATAATTTTGGTACAATGAATTTTGTACGGAGAGAATAGTTACATTGTGAGTTAAATTGACTTCTCAAATGAAAGAGAAAAAAAAAAAAATTTGTCACCACCACACTACAATTTTAGGTTCATACCATTTGTATAAACCAAAGAGTTTTAGAATAATATGATTATGAAATTAGATTTGTGGGTATGCAGGTGAGTCCTTTATTAATTAGTTCAAATTCTGGATATGTATCAAATGACAAAGGATTAAAAATCCAAATTACAATATGGACAAAAAATTTACCCACCCATAGGTAGCCCGGCTGTAAAGGCAAACCAAGGAAACTATAAATGGTTTAACCTACAAACTTATATTCGATTCTTCCGTTGGACGCAAAGGTAATACATTTGTCCATGATTTACCTAAAGAGGTCATAAAGGACTAGTCGAAATGCGCGTAAGCTTGTCCAAACACCTTAATTATTAAAAAAAAAAAATAAATAACTTTCACAATAATCTATGTCATTAACTTGTTATGGAATTAAAATTATAGAATTAGAAAGAGAGTCTACAGGGAATCATCTAATTTTAGGTCAAGATCACTCATAATAATATCAAACCTTTTCCTTTTTCCTTTTTCCTTTTTTCTTTTTTAATTACTAGTATAGCTAAACTTTTTGACATTGAATATGCAAATGTAACCAAATACGAAAATTTTGATAGTGAAAGCCATGAATGTGTGAAATTCTTGAAGAGAGAATTGTCACATTAAGAATATGAAAGCATCTTCTTAATATGTAAGCAACAAGTCTATAGTTTATTATTATATCACTTTGGGAATTCTTTTTATATTAAAAATGTATTCATACATACTAGTTGCTTAGAAGGTTAATTGAGAAAATATTGTGATTCCATTCATAAGCTTTTTCTTTGCAATTTCCTCACAATTCTCAATTCTCTTCTATTTCTTCTTTTATGCATATTACTCAAAATTCTAATTAGGCAATCTCTATGAATTTTCTTCTTCTTGTTTATTCTTTATCAAGAGAACACAAAAATTCTAAAACATTATGAAACACTTCAATTGCATACATAATTATGAAACTTAATTTATATTCAAAGTTTCTAATTATGTATTTACATTTAAAAGTCTTACATTATAATTGTACAAATAGTGAAATTAATAATTCCATTAAACATTAATAAAATACTCATTCATAATTAGTTTTCATATAAAAATTTGCATATGTATACCTCTATCAAATTCAAAAAATTCAATGCTCCATCTTAATTGCATAAATATCAATTAAATCATATAATTTTTTTCTTTTTATTTATTAGTAAGGTAAGTTTTTTTATTTTCATTTTCTTTACTTTGTTATTGATACCGATGATTTTTAAATATTTATTAATTATTAATAAGTTTCAGGGTTGGGATGGCAATCCCCATCCCCTCCCTGAAATCAAATTTGGGAATGGATAATCTCCTCCTCGGATGGGCAGGAACCAGTATAGACTCACTTGTGAGGAAATTGCCACCCTATTTATGAGGGATATTAAAAAAATGAACACAAAGGTTGGGGGTTTGTAATTGACCACTTTCTCAAACCTTATATATTTCTATCTAAATAACTCAGTTAAATACTAAATTGCCCTTATCCCTATCCTTACAACACTTAAACCAACTCTCACATCATTTCATTCCATAGACACCACACCATTTTCACACCAATTCATTTTACTCCACAATAAACAATGATTATTACAGACTTCATCCAAGTAAATTCATCGATACGTGATTAGTTTACTTTCTTAATAATTTTCTATTTCAATTTGTGATTGTAAAATAAATTTAAACTGAGTTGCCGTAATTGAATTTGTGTATTTTGGTTACGGTTTGTGTCATTTTGATGTTTTACACAATAAAAATTTTGTATTTGTGTTGGATTGAGTGTATATTGAAGTGTTTTCTATGTTTTTGGCTTGAATTTGGAGAACGAATGGTCGACACAATGTCTTCGTGTAGAATTTCCTAGTTCGCGTAGTATTATGAGAATTGGATAATCCCACGCTAACTTGAAATTTTTATACTAAGACATAGAGGCTTAAAATGAGTTAGTGTGATATTACGGTAATTGATTCATGCTTTGACGCTAAGTGATTACAAGGCAATATCAGTTAGCGCAATATTACAAGCCAAAAAATAAGTTAGTGTAATGTCACACTAACTTAATTTAAACTGAAGTGTGGCGAATTGGATAATCAATTTGAGGATTATTCATTATGCAAACCCATGTTTTTATACCTGGACCACGGCTTGACTCGGTCAAGAGGTCAATCCCCGGGTTGGGCGGTCTGATTGGCAAATCGAACCGGTGACGTCAACATAATATGAAACTTAACAGACATACCCTAAGAAATTATCATCAATTCCTAAAAGTTTGAAATCCAGTAAACACACCCCTGCGATGGCCAAGAGGCACAAAGAGTCGCGCAGCACGCGACAGGTAGCGATCGACGAGAGAACTCAAGTCGTGATGATAAGGGTTTTAGTGTGCAAAAGGAGGTGGATGGCACTCGACGATGGGCGGGTGCACTTGGCTGGAGATGGTAGGTGTTTTGTCATGGAGGTGAAGGTAATGCCTATGGTGCTGTTAGGTGGGTGCAACAGTGTCGAAATCAGGCTAGATCATACCTGGAACTGGCAGTCGCGCGAATGGGGAAGGGTCACATGAACAGTGCAAAACGGCAAAAACACGGTCAATCGAGGTTAGGAAAGTACTCAAACAGTGTTAGGAGGTGTTTTATGCCAATTTTGATGGAAAATCCGACAGGAAACAACGAAAATGGCCGATGACGAGGGTCGATACTGTAGCAACGATACTATAGCAGTTGAGAGAAAATGGTTGAGCGACCTGGCAATTGAATAGGCGATTCGTCACTATTCCGCCAATTCAACTGTAAGTCAATCCGGGTCAATGACTGAAACTGGATTTAGAGTGTCCCCGAACCAGAGTAGAGGTCAATTCTCAGTCGAACATGTTGAACCAGTCGATCTAGTCCGGGTTGTAAAATAGAGATGCAAACTAGGAAAAATTAACAAACTCATCAGGTAGGAATCATTTTTCCAAATTCAACCCAACACTTCAATTTAACGTAATTATTACTCAACCCAAATCAAATACACAATCTTTAATCCATAAAATTAAAAAATATATATATAAAATAAACCTTAACCAAATCGAATACAATTTCAATGTTATCCAAACAAAACCGTAAAACCAAATCATTCAAAATTTCACAATTTCAAGAACAAAACAATAGACAAAATAATACTTTCTTTCTCATTGCCGAAGTACTCAATTAATGTTTGAAATCAATCTCACGCTGCCAACCACTCTCGATTGAAACCCACTCCCCTTAATCTACAGAAATCCAAATAAAAAAAACAACGGCTTTTGACTCGTTGGATCAAGAAATCCGAGACGGCTCCGATTGCCGAATTCAAGAAGTTAGTATTTATATAAGGGTATTATTGGGAAGAAACCATTAATTGGATTTATAGGTATAGGGTTTGAAAATGTAGTTAAATCACATAAAACCCCCAATTTTTGGTTATTTTTTTAACATCCTTCGTTATAAATATAATATATTTTTATTTTAAATTTTATTTCCTCTTGTCCGTACATGTGTGGACTATTTAGAATAAATCTTGGATTTTGGTTTGGGCGTGCTAACTTACGCCTGCGGTACCGTTATATATTCACACCCCATGAAGCAGTCTCAAATTTATCTCAACTCTGGTGGGTCACTTTGAACACGGAGAGAAACAGAGTATATTTGCTTTCTTCACTTGAGAGAGAGATGGAGATGGAGATGGAGATGGAGATAGAGATGAAAATGAAACAATCAAAATTCAATAGAATTTGTGTGTTTTGTGGGAGTAGTCCTGGAAAGAAAAGCAGTTATAAAGATGCTGCCATTGAGCTCGGCAAAGAACTGGTAATGGCATGCCTCTCTGTTCCTGCCCTGTTTTTTTCCTTTTTGTTTGCCTTTTTTATATGTTTTCTTCCTTTTCAACCTTTAATGTTTCTGTTTCTGATTGTTTTAAGAAGTGTTTTCAGAAAAAACATGCTTTACGATTCCGTCCATCAATTCTTTTCCTCTGCTATGGCTCTGTTTCTCCTCTGTTATCTCATCTTTTTCATGACTTTCAACTTTGTTAGTCTTTAATTTCATTTTTTTTTATTCGATTTTAGATCTAACAGAATTGAACTTAATGGCCTTTGTACGAACAACAATTTCAGGAAAATTACTTCTATGATACTGTTTGGTTCTTTAATATCTCTACCCTTTTGTTTTGTTTTTTGTCCTCTCCCGCTACATTTTTTATACAAATTTGACATTGACAAATTCTCTGTGTGTTTCTCTTTCAAAAAGAGATTTAAATGTACTTTGAAGGGTACGATTAAAGAGTTCATTTTTTGTCTACATTATTCACCAAAGTCAATTTGTCTCACATATTACTTTTTTTCCTCCAAAGGTTGCAAGAAACATTGACCTCGTTTATGGAGGAGGAAGCGTTGGCTTAATGGGTTTGATTTCTCAATCTGTCTATGATGGTGGGCGCCATGTCATTGGGTAAACCACATTCCTCTTTTAGCTTCAAAACTGTTCAAATTAATAAACAAGTTGAAGTGGATCAATTCAGAACTAAATTTTGTTCATTCTTGGCTTGTTTTTGATTACTTAGAATGGCTTGAATTGAATTGATCTGCAACTTTTAACTAATCTTTGTCATGTTGTTGCCTGCAGAGTTATTCCCAAGACACTCATGCCAAGAGAGGTTTGTCTGTCTTCTCCTACTAAAATATAAGCTTTCAGGAATCTTTTTGTTACAAGTTAAAATTGAAAATGACCGAAGGCTGGCTACAGAAAGAGAGAGATCATTATTCATTATCTACTTCTATTTTCTTCTCTCATAAATTGGATATTTTTCTTTCAATGTTGTGGTAGCTACTGTACATGAATTTCTACCTCACCTTTGTTATCTTCAAGCAATGGATTTCATACTTGTCTCTTCTGTATTCATGCAGTGGGACTTCATTCATTGATTGGTTCTGAAATTTTTGCTTTGTTTTTAACACATTTTAAATCTCTGATGAATGAAGCAACTTACTATCAATCCCATCTGGGTCTTCACCATTTTGTCCCTATCTAATAGTTTTATGTAACACTACCAAGATTCCTATGATCTGTCCTATTTTTTCTGGGTTTCTTTTTTTTTTCTTTTTTTTTTTTTTTTTCTCTCTTCTTTCTTTCTTTCTTTCTTCGTGTACCTTAACAACAGGTTTATCTGGTTCTGGTGTATATATTTTCCTTGGAGTTTTCCTTCTCTTTCTTTTAGTTGACCTGTTGAGACTTGAGCCCACCACCTCTCTACACTCATCATTGCTTTTCTTTCAAAACTCTCTCTCTCTCTGTTTCAAAAGTTGGTGTCTTTTGGTCATGTATTTGTATTTGGAATAATACTACACATGCATCATTTTTATACAACATTTTTCATACAATATTATGTGGCAAGATATAATTGGGTGAAAATTTAATTTTAACTTTAAATTAGCCAATCATATCTTGCCACATAATATTGTATGGGAAATATTGTATGAAAATGATGTATGTGTAGTATTACTCCTTGTATTTGTATTTACTTGGATTCTACATATACAGATAACCGGAGAAACAGTTGGGGAAGTGAAGCCAGTGGCGGATATGCATCAAAGAAAGGCAGAAATGGCGAGACAGTCTGATGCTTTTATTGCCTTACCTGGTTGGTATTTGACTATTTGTTATACGTATATATAAGTTTGCGAGGTTAGGTTTATTAATTTTCATAAAAACCCTTAAATTTGTAGAGGTGAAATGAAATAGGATAAAGCAAACCCAGTTCTGGTAATGAATAATTATTAGAAGAAGAATGAGAATTTTCACCAACCATTTCACCTGAAAAGGGATAGAATTTTGTGTTATCCTTTTTCTTTCCAAAGTCAACTGAGCTGACATGAGAAACTTTTACTTGCCCTACATTCATACTGTTTAGCCATTAGAGCATCAACCAGCCAGGCTTTATGAGTTTTCATAAAGTGAAAGTTTACCTAATGTCAATCCATTTGTATATAACTTTATATTCAGTGGGGAATGAGATTTGTATAGAAGGTTACCATAAAAGGGCTGAAATAATAATTTTTTTTTAAATGAAGTTACCAGCAGAAGTAGAAGTAAGAAACGATTAGAAGTTAGAATCTCACAGATCCCAAGAGGCAAAGAGAACATAAATATGAACCTAATCTCTGACTTCTATTATCTTCACATCAGACTGCCTCTGGCGTTCTGGTGGACCTCAACTTCTGTGGTTAATGTTGCACTTCCCCTCTGCACATAAATTATACCATGCTTCACCATCTCAAGAAATTTAATAAAACCCCCTTTTATCAACTCTTTACCCAGCTGTCGGTTGCCTGGGGCCCAAAGTTGGGCCAAATGGGCTTGGGCTAGACTTAACAAAAGCCAAACCTAAAAGATTAAGAATTTCAGCCCAAACCCTAAAAAGTTTCTTTGTTATGTATTTGAAGGTGGCTATGGGACTCTTGAAGAGCTGCTTGAGGTCATAACCTGGGCTCAACTTGGCATCCATGACAAACCGGTAAAGCAAAGACCAAGCTAAATTCAAAAGTTCAAAAAAAAAAAAATATCATCCAAGTTTGATTAAATTTTTATTTGTTTGATGATTTTGAAGGTGGGTTTGCTGAATGTGGATGGCTACTACAATTCATTGTTGTCGTTTATTGACAAAGCAGTAGAGGAAGGTTTCATTAGTCCTAGTGCTCGCCATATCATTGTATCAGCTCCTAATGCAAAAGATTTAATGATGAAAATGGAGGTGAAAAATTAAAACTTATAAATCTCAACTTTATCTAGTTTTATTAAGGTTTTCAACACTCACTTCGTTGAGCTCCTGCGTTTTTTCAGGAATATTTTCCACGCCATGAGAGTGTTGCTTCAAAGCTAAGTTGGGAGATTGAACAATTAGGCTGCACTCCAAAATGTGATATCTCCAGGTGAACAGAAGATCACCGGAGCTCATATAGACAATATATGCAGTGGACTAATTTTAGGTGACCCAAAAAAAAAAGGTTCCTGAAATGGGAATTGTTTTTTTTCTTTTTTTTTTCCTTAGTGTAAACTACAAAAATTTAACCTCATAATTTGAAGCTCCATTTGGTTGCCAAGAAGAAGAAGATGAAAAGACAAGTGGGTTTGTTAAATTTTATGCATCCTTACATTTATTTTCTTTCATTTTCTTGGCAATGACTGAGAGCTCAAGTTTAGAACTCAGCAATGGTTAATTTCAGTATATTATGAGCTTATGACAATGTTTTCATTGTTCACTGTCAATTATTGGATTAGTTTAATAACAGAAATTCTCCAAATGTTGATCCTTTAATGTCATTAATTCAGAAATAAGGGGCTGAAAAACAGACGAGAAGACGAAATTAATAAATCTGTCAATCTCGGAGATCAAAGCACCAATTTATACGCTGAGCCTATGAACTAGGTTTATGGTTCATAATGATAATATTTAACATGTCCCCAAATTCAACAAAAGCCCATGTGCTCCTTCATAAATTTTGAAATATTAATAGACGTTATCAAGAACACCAATCAATACTTGAACATTACTAAAGCCTTAAACAAACCTTGTTAGATTAACGATTAGTATGATTTGATGGATCATTAATGATGTGGGACAAATTCTGTTAAATTAGGATTTTAATTTATATCTTTTTATTCAGAGGAAACGACTTCAAGGTTTGCACCAATAACCCAACCCAAAAAGTTTTAAAATACAATTTTTCCATTTAAAGTTCATATTTTATTAACATCCAAAATACGCTTCACTTTCTCAATCGGCATTCGGCAAGTTACCAGTAGCCAAGTTAAGAGGGGTTTTATAAAGTAGAGGTTGGTGGATCTAATGGTGGTGACCGATTCGGAATCAATAGAAAATCAATTAAGAACAGAAAACCCTAGCTTTGTGGTAGGTGGATCTAATGGTGGTGACCAATTGAATATTCGTTATCGGAATCAGCAAAAAATCAATTAAGAACAAGAAACCCTAGCTTTGTGATGGTCGACAATTGACGAGAAATCAGGTGCTGGAGTGAGAGGGGTTTTGTAGAGAAGAGACCAAAGGTTCAAATGGTGGTGACAGAGAGAATTTTCACCGCTTGATTCGACTTTGGGTAGTAACGGAATATTAACTTTAGGTGGGAAAGTAGTATTTTAAAACTTTAGTGTCATTAAGGCAAACTTTGGGTGGGAAAAGGCATTTGGTTTCAATGTTTCATTTTAGGAATTGGATTAATAACAATAATCCCCCTTAAGTATAATTGAAGAACATAAATCTCCCTATAGTTATAAAAATACAGAAATACCTCTTTCTTTAAATTTTGTGTGTTATAATAAATGGTAATTAGGTAATTATTTATTAATCCATTCAGTTATAAATAGGGATGGGCATTTTCCCTGCCCCGTCTGGGACTCAGCCCGAACGGGGCAAAGATTCCCCAAATAGATCAGAGACGGGACTGGGCTCGAGCTAAAATTCAATCCCCAAATTCAGGCACAGGTTGAGGATGGGGTTAGTCTCACCTCGGCCCACCCCACCCATTATATATATATATATATATATATATATAATTAATTAATTGTTTCACATTATTAATTAATCAAATTCAAATGTGATTATAATAATTTAATTGTGGGAACATTGAATGAAACCATTACAAATGGGTAATAAATAATAATAAATATCATATATAATATTATTAAATATGTCATAAATATCTATATTAAATATAATAAATCATTATAAATATTTTTAATACATAATAAATATGTTATATATGTATAATGTATCATATGTATTATATATTATACATTATACATAATATGCTATTATTCGTAATCATCTGGTATTTTGATTCATTATAATAAATCAATAAATCATTATAAATATTTTTTAATACATAATAAATATGTTATATATGTATAATGTATTATATGTATTATACATTATACATAAAATGCTATGAAACAAAAAAATATACATTATATATTATACATTATACATTATAATAATATATCATATGTTAATATATAATATATATGTATAATGCATCATTCGATATTTTAATTCATTGAATCATTATTTAAATTCCATTACATAATTACTTTTGTTATATTTTTATAATTTTTGTCATTTATGAAAACAAATTTTGCTTTGGGTTTGGCCGAGACGACCTAGGCTTCCTTACATCCTCAAATGGGGAATTCGGGGATTCCTCGAATTCCCTGTTTGGGGATCGAGCCTAATCTTTGAGGTTATATTTGAAACATGCACTACAACAAAAATGACATACGGTAACACTAAACATTATCATTTTTCCTTAAAGTGTTACTGTAGACTATCTATGATAACATTTGATGTTAAAATGTTATGATAACAATTTTTATATGTAACACTTTAACTTTTTGTAACACATTTTATATCAATGATAACTTTTTTTAAATGTTATGAAAAATATATCTGCAGTAGCATTTTTAAAGTGTTACAATAAACCTAATAATATAGTAACTTTTTTATAATATTACCATATAATCAAAATACAGTAACATTTTATAAGTGTTACCATAAACCCAATTATTTACCGGCAAACAAAATATTATTCCCGCCAATATGAAATGAGGTTGATTTTGTCTCATTTTTATTGTTTAGGGATCAAATATACTATTTGGGGTTTACTTTGTTACTTTTCATTCATGTAGGGACCAAACTAAAATATTTTTATAAGTAGTATAAAAGGAAGATGGAAGGTTATGCAAAGCCAAAAACGTCCACCCATCTTCATCCATTTTCTGGAGACCATCCAGCGTCCACCTTTGGCGACCGTTTTCCTTCTCCAAGAGCCGGTCGTCATCACCTAAGACCTTCATGGATTCCCGCGACCATTCATCTTCCTGACAACTTTAATTTCTCACTTTTTCGATGGCTTGTAGACATCCTAGGGGCCGGTCCATACTCCCTAAGGTCAAATCCACCTTCCCCAAGCTTGGTTGACTCAAAATCTCGCATGAAAAAGCCATTTCACCGTCTTGACTCTTCACCTTCTCGACGTGATTTCACTCACTTTTTGGTGTCGTTTTATCTCCCAAGTGTTGGAGTTGTCCACCACTTCAACAATTAGAGGCCACGCATACGCATTTGGGAGTCTTGCTAGCTTGTCGATGGGCGGGGGTGCAGGGGGCAGCGCCTCCCGGTCCATAGGCAATTTGCGCGTATTGAAATAATATTGCTCTACTAAATTAAAATATGGTAGCACTTAAAAGTGTTACTAAATCAAAATATAATAACACTTAAAAGTGTTACCATATTCCTAAACTTTAACCGAGAAAAAACACAAATACTCGCCAACACAAAATTTCCGCAAAAAAAAAAAACACCTAATACCTCATTCACTCATCTTCTTCCCTCCATTTTCACAATTTTTACTTCTTCACTCAAATTTCAGCTGCAAACTTCCCCCTATAATAGTTATTTGTTATCGCAATGAAGCCACCCTACATTTAGAACATTTTCAACTCTTCCAGCCTACTCTCTCGAACAAAATACCCCACACTTAATCATCTTCATTCAAAAACATCTAGTGAAAATCATTGATTTCATCCAATTTTTACCTTAAAATCTCCAATACCCATAACCTATTGAACCCTAAATCGAAGCCCCCATCCCTTAAGAGGCAAATCAATGAAGCTACGACTCAGGTGAATCATTTTCTTCGTTCTTTTTAATCTTGTCAGTTGTTTGCTTATGTTTTTTGGTTATTTGATAAAGAGGATGTTGTTCATCAGGGTATACAAACTCTGGGTGGAGGACCGCCTGTAAAAAAGGTCATTTCTGGTTGCTTCACATTCTTCTTTTGCTTTAATAGTTTCGCTCTTGCACTCCTTCCTCACATTTGTTACTTTTTTTTGTGCATTTAATGTTTATTGGTTTGTGCTTTGTTTGCTAGAATTAAAATTGCGTCAAAAGTGGTAATGTACAAACTTCTAAGTTTAAAGCAACCGTTGACAAGCATAAAAAGTATATTGAATAGTGAAATTGGGGCTGGCCAACTGTTGGCAATAAAGAAATGTATCAGTTTATGTTCATGTCCTGCATTTTTGTTAACTGCTTTGTTCTAAAGATTGATTTTGACGTCTAAATTTAGGGAATTTTTGGTTCCTCCAAATTGACCTATTTTTTTGTTGTATCATCTACTTTGAGTAGTTGAATACTTATACTAACTCAATCCAAGATACATTATTATTTTGTTTGTGTAGTTGTTCATCATATATACATTTTCTCCCCTTTTACAGGCTACTAAACATGAAGATTATTAAGGTAAACTTAGCTACAACTATATTCATTCTTTATTGTATTTTAGTACTATTTTATTCTATTGAACCGTTTTTTATTGATTTTCAATCCAAGGATATCATTATGTATGTATATATTTATATGGACTTGATGTTTTCAACCTTTTATAATATAAATTTGGTTTCTTACAATGGATGTTAGCTAGCTAAACATTATCTTTTTTTTTTAAGGAAAATGCAGTATAAAAAATTACTTTGAGATCTATAAGGTACTGAACATGTTGGATGTTTGTAATGTTTTGTTGTTTCCATATATTTTGTGCATTTCCTCTTGTTTTTGGTATAGGCCTTCATTTGTTGTTTTCGACTATTGGCGGCTCCTTTTGTATGCCGTACATGATAGTGGTGGGGTTAGTGGGATTGTATACCAGGTTTCCTCTTGTTCATTTTGTGTAGCTGGATTCTTGGGTCTGTCCAAGATATTGATTTAGTTAGGGTCACTCCTGCATTTAGGCTGTTTTTTTTATTCTTTACATAATTACCTTTTGCCGAAAAAAGAAAATTTTTAGACAAAAAAAAATTAGGCAAGAAAATGTTTAAACAAAAAAAATAGTGAAATTGTATACATCTTAAGCCCAAGTGCTTTTATAGTATATGCTTGCATGTTGAAAAAAATTTGAAATTACTTCTATTTTATATGTTTCTTATCATATCCTTTTTTTTTTTTTAAATAAAAAATAAAACTCTCTCATTGGCTATCATGTGAACGCAATAAAAGGGGCGTTGGTTGGGGTTTATGGGATTACTGGGGTAATGTCATCTTATATTCTTGATTACCATGTTTGGTTGTTAAGTATATAAGATACCAGTAATCTTCAAATACCATAGTGGTACTATTGGTAATATGGAGGTAATTGTTACCTCTATTTTTCTAGGTATTCTGAGATTACCTGGTTTATTTTTTTGCTACATTTTCTCCTTATTAATA